GTAAGAGAGAGACTGATAAAGAATCCGGGTAAGAAGATGGTCCAAATGTGGGTATCAGGCTTGTTGTGAACTGAATAAGGGCAAGAAGTACATAATAGGTATCTGATTAGGAAGGTTGGTGTTTGAGAAACGTCCGTAGAATGGCAGCACCCCAAAAGGTGGTGTAAGATACACATATAGAATGGCAGATCAATATGTACTAATTAGAAAGAAGTTATAGGAACATGCAGGTGAATACATGTGTAGGACATGTAGACTCTGTTAGGTTTACCTTAATAATAGACTAGCTTAAGTTAGTAAGTTCTAAGGTAGGGTGCAAAATCCAATATGAGTAAATGCAAAATTCTCATATGAATGGGTTAGAGGGCTGATGATGGTAGTTAAAACTAGATAGTTTAAATGGGTACCCCTGTAGTTGGGGTGCAGGTATAGCAGATAGTGTGGAACTCTTAGTATAGCACTAACATTTTGGGTGGACTACTTAAATTAGGCACCAAAATACACGTGTGGCTTGATATACTATCATTGTAATTATACTATAAAACATTACCTATACTCTAATAAAAGTCTCCAGGCCAATGAGGTCACCTTAATACCAAAAAAATAAATAAATAAATAAAAGGTATGAAAAGTACAAAAGGTATAAAAAGTACAAAAGGTATAAAGGTATAAAAGGTATAAAAAATATAAAAGATACAAAAGATACAAAAGGTATAAAAGGTACAAAGGTATTATCTAGCTAACTAATAGTTCATTTGTCTTGGATTATAGCTTTGTTTTGATTGTTATAATCTTCTGAATCTAATAGAGATAAAATCTCTAATATGTTCTATAATGTTAACACATTCTATAACATTTCTATCATCTTTAATAATGAACTCTGTGAGTTAATAGTTCATCTCAATTGTTCAATAGAATTATCAAATTTTTGCATATTGTATCGATTATGATTAATTTAGAATAAGACATACTCATATAGCGTGGTTTCTGGTTCTAAGAATTTTTCTTTTTCTTTTTGTTAATACCAATTATATCAACAATATCAATTACAATAATAACTTAACAATAACAATAACAACAATAACAATAATAATAACAATAATAATAATCATTAAAAAAATGCCTTGCGTTTATATTTCTTATACTGTTCAACATTCACAATGTAACGGTATAGAAGCTCTTTATAAAGCTCTGATTGGAGTACAGGATCAAAATAGAGATAAATATTTACTGATTCTTATAATAGTTTTCAGTAAAATATTAACTTTGTAATCCATATTAGGTTGTGGCATAAAGTAAGATCCTTAAGAAGAAGAATCGTGATATTGGAAGTGGAATTAGAAGAAATTCAATTTTGGAAGACAGAGTCAGTAGAAGAAAATTGGAGAAGGGATGAAGAGCATTGGAGGGTTGTTCAGGAAAGAAATTAGTTGTGTGTTTGTGTTGCTGTATAGGAGACTCATATGAATAGTAGTTTATTAGATTTAGATGAAGATTTTGATTTGTAATTTTTCTTTCTTTTTGTATATATACAATACATTATAGGATTTTTTGACCTATTTCATTTTTTAACCAATCAAATTCATCTAAAATTCCAATCAAATTCGTGTTTCAATCAAATTAGTATATTTTGATATATTGTTGATAACTCATTATCTAGTGGTTCCAATTTGATAAAATTGGTACTATTCGAATCCTCTCATAGAGAGAATTCGAATGGTACCAATTTCATCAAATTTGGACTACTAGATAATGAGTTATCAACGATATATCAAAATATACTAATTTGATTGAAACACGAATTTGATTAAAATTTTAGACGAATTTGATTGGTTAAAAAAACGAAATAGATCGAAAAATCCTGTATTATAATATTGTAAAAATTTACTGTGTTTTTAATTGAAATAAGCCAAAATAAGTATTAATTAATTAATTAATTAATTAATTATTATTTTTTGTTCTTATAAGTGTATGTAAATTTACTACTCACTGTAACATTTTTTTCAGTCTTGCTAATTAGCTAATTAGCACCTATTGCAGTATTGTATCAGGGTCACTGTACGATTCCTGAAAGATATTTTCCCGATGAACATAATACTGACTAATTATGTCCTTTCGGGAAATGGCTTTTTAGGACTTGAGTTATATTATTGTATTAACGTTAAAACAATATATTAATTAGCAATTTGCAGCATTGTATTAGTATCATTAAAAATTAACTTGAATCATTTCACATGTTTGTGTCTTATCTTTTAAACAAAAGTAAAAATCAGAAAATAATTAAGGAATTTGAAACCGAGTAGGATATATTTTAAAATTACAAGCTTGTAATCATAGGTCTCAATAAAATTTTATTCTTTTGAGAATAAAGCACTGATCAAAAATTTTATTGTCCGAAGGACATTACGGTAGAGGAATAGTCTGTGTGTGTGTGCGAATCCTGGGTTTTGATTGGTTGATCAGGTCAAACCAATTATTATGCTCAGAAAATAACCAGTTTGCGGATCGGACTGGTCCGTGTTGATTCCATTTACCTAGTAAATGTTTTCTTGGTTGTGTCAGAAGCACTTATTTTTCGTTATTAATGTTTTAGATTATTCCGATTTTTTTTTACTAGCAGAAGGAATTCTGGAACTTCATAAATAAAATACTTCTCTTAATAATAAATGGTTGAATTTTTTTTTTTTTTAACTATGTTTTTGATTTTGCTGTTGTGCTAAGGTGGCATGATCTAGTTTATCATTAAAGACGGATTTTATACGTTGAATCACAACTAGAGGAGAAATTAGAGCTCCCATATTCATTTTTTTCACGCAGAACTATTGTATAATTTTATTATTAAATTTATCGTTATATATAATGTATTTAATTCTTTATATTTATTTAGATTGATTCTTCTACATAACATTCTTCTTTATATACTTCACAACCATTACAAAATTTATCGAACAAAAATAACATGTAGAGACCTAGGACGTTCTCAAGTACCTACCTCAATGGACTCAATAACGAATCTTATTGGCTAGTTTGATCAAACAGACCAATCAGATTTTTTATTGAATTCATTGAGGTAGGTGCTTGAGAACGCCACTATATAGCAAAGATGGCCTCCGCAGTGATAATACAAACTAGATATAGAATACAAATCGAAGAGTACGTACGAGCGTACGTACGTAAAATCTCTTTTTCTAAAAATGTGATATTCTCTAAGTATATAACAAGAACTTATAAGTTGATAAACTCTAATAGTAAAAATAAAGATAATAATAGTATTTGTTGTTATATAAAAAATTTCAAAGTCTGAAAATATATACCGTATATTACCGAATAGAAGCTACCAAAAAATTTTCGATTTTCTTCGATTTTCTTAGGCTAAACTGCAGGGGTAGCTTCTATTCGGGTCTAATTTTACTATTAAAACATAGTAACCGTTTTCAGATTTTTGGATCCAAAATCGAGGGGTAGCTTCTATTCGGTAATATACGGTACGTATTTAATCGAGATATATTAGAAATCAGGTGACCAATAGAAAATGTAAGTTTTAGTACATCCCCTTATTTCGTAAAAAGAATTTTTACTAAATGAGAATCTCTAAATCATGGTTACAGTTTTGGAATTTTTTAAATACACAATTTCACAAATAGATAAATTGAAATTTTTGTTTACTTTTATATAAAAGTTAAGTTTGAAAATTTTTTTTTCAGAAACCTTCAATCTAAAACACATCATTATGTCTAGGTTTCTGTTTTCTCTTTGGAGGTGATCCTCTTTGTGATATGGGAGCAGCCGGGTCAGTGTATAAAATCTATGTGCAAAATGTGCCATGAGCACATATTTTTAAAAACTTTCACATATATTTAGCTAGAAAATGTGCACGTAATTCACAAGCTTTCTTTACCAAAATTATTAATAAAATCTTAACTACGTGCACATAGAGCATATTGTGCACATAATCTATAAAACAAATAAAAAATTTAAAATTATTCATCTTCAGTATATTATATAAAATAAACAAATTATTAATAAAATCTTAACTACGTGCACATAGAGCATATTGTGCACATAATCTATAAAACAAATAAAAAATTTAAAATTATTCATCTTCAGTATATTATATAAAATAAACAAATTATTTATTTAAATTTTTAACCTTATTTAAACAGATTTATATTATTTTATCAATAATTATTTTATTTTATATATCAAATATTTTAGTTAGTAATTTACAAGTTTGTTGTTTTTACAAATAATTAATTCACAAAAAGCACGCTTTGTTAATAGTTTTTACCAAGAAATTATAGTGCACATGTTTTAAATTTGTGCACATATATTTTATAGTATTATAAAAATTTATAATGTACTAATTTTTAAATTTATTCACATAAATTAAGAGTGTATTGTGCACACTATTCACATATTTTTGAGATAAAACTTTATACACTAGCCAGGGTAACCTTGTAGCCTAAATAAATGATAACTATAATGATTCATTAAATCATTATTAGTACTATCATAATTTGCGGTAAATAGTACCCGGGTCTCTCAATTGACGGTGGTCGGGTACTTTAACAAGGGGGTACTACTTGCCGAAAATTACGGTCTTATTACTAATCATAATCATAATCATTTTCTATTTATCAGTATGTAAAGGCATAACATTACAGTACATAATTATTCGAACCGCACGTTAGTTATCCCAGAATACGTATTGGACGTGATGATGTGTTTATATGAAAATTTAAACCGTAGACTTCGTGTTATGAGTTAGCATTCATACTAAATTTATCATGTTAAAATATTTGTACAGATAACAGTCAAACCTCTCTATAATCACACACTAGGATAAAAAAAAGCATGATTGAAAAGAAATGTGGCAATTATAGGAGTCAAATTTATTATATTTAATAATATATAGGAGGTGTCTATAAAGAGGTTTGACTGTATATTATTTACTATCATATGCCGTATAATTAGAAAAAAAAAGTTACAAGGGAAAATAATCTTCAGGAGCAATATGCTCCTCCTCGATTCATTACCTACAGTACTCCTTTAAAAAGCTAGTAAATGTCGACCAATAGGACTGATTATTTATGTTTTTTGCGCTGTTTTGTATTTGTTGTTGCTTATGAACCTATAAAAATTTTTAGCATTAAATAAAATAAAATAAAGTTTCCTAATAAATTTTCAATAATAAATAATTACTTCAATCTGTTCCGTAATGTATTTATAGGCTTCAAATGCTTGATTAACATACAAGCTCTCTGGGAATGGTTCTTTCAAATCTTCCAATTCAGAAATTACTGGAGGCCAAAAGTGCAGTGATGAATCACAAATATAAAGACAAAGAGGGTCAGTCTCTTTTTGTTTTTGGCCTTGTAAAAATCTATAAATAAACCTTCTTAGTGCCGTAGCAAAAACTTCTGCAGAGAATTTCATAACTTTTCCATTAATAATTGTTGCAGGTTGTTTAGTTTCAAAATCTATAATTTTTTCTATTTCATCTCGTTGTTTAGATGTAAGTTTTTCCTTATATTTATCATGAGTATACTCAATTATTAGGTTTGCTACTTGTTCTTCTATTAATTCATACAAAGAAATTATGTGTTTAAGTTTCAGAGGTTCGTTTAACAAGTTACGAAAATTTTGATTTTCGTTAAGTCCAGAGAGCGTTAACCATTGGTTTACATAATATTTTATGAGAATTTCACCATTACCACCAGGTGTCCGTACAATAAAGCAAAGTAAAATTTCCAAGGATGAAAGGATTTCTGATGGATCACCTAATGGATCATCTAATGATGCATCCATACTGCTTAATTTCAAATTTCCTGGTGACCCTATTAACAATTCTGCAATTTCAGGTGGAATTGGTTCTTGAGGAATTATATCCTGTATGTCCTTAAGAATGCGTGGTGATACTTGAATTAATTCCATATGATATGAAAAAGGTTGCATATATAATGTAGTTTCATCTACTGCATCTATATAAACTTTTTCAAATACAAGTTGCCGTGCAAGCTCAACTTCTATATTTTGTAAATCATAAATAACATCAAGACCACATCCAATTTCTAAATTCCTTTGACTAAACATACGAATTTCCCTAAACTCTTCTTGGTTGTATGAAATAATGTTATCAATACAAGCTTGCTTAAGTGTTCTAGGTGTTACTATTATGGAAGTCGAAGTTCCCATTTCTGCATCAAATGACGTTTGTTCTAAAAACTTAAGTGCTCTACAAGAGCCAGGCGGAATGGTCATAACATCCTGCAAGAAATTGTTTTGCAAGCCAATTAAATATTCTAAAATTGCACAAAGGTAAATACTGGAGTCTTTTTCTTCTACTAAGCCCATAATAATAGTCTTATTACGACTCATCTTTGGTTTTTCTTTAAATTCATGACATTGGTATCTATCAACTTTATCAATTACATTATTCCAAGATTCTTCAAAATTTTTAAACATTTTATATAAATCAGCTCTGTCCGCTTCCTTATCAATAAATTTGTCAAATGTCGTCTCTTCAGCACCTTTCCTGCTAATTCGATAAGAAAGGCGCGAAGACAGGATTTGTACAAATTGTAAAATTGGACAAAGGTTCTTAATAATCTCTAATCGTTCATGATGTTTAAAGAATACCGCAAGAAATGGATATTTTGTTTGATATTGCTCCAGTTCTCCGTTATAGTAAGCACGGAAACTGTTAAAATTGACGATATCAATTTTACGCCAAAGTCGTGGTAATTTCGAAAGACGATATTCATCATCTATTGCTCTTGTTTGATCAATTTCAGATTCGATAATGTTGGCATTACTACCCTGATCTTCAGCCGCAGCCGCTAATGCTGCACGAAAGTTTGTTGCTTTTTCAATAACACTTCTAATTAATGGAGAAACATAATTTCGGGTAAAATGCATTTCCCAATCCTCACGCTCAGCTGGCGTCCTTAGCATTGACGCAGGCAGGAGTGTTTCTGTCATTGTAGTAAGTAATGAATGGAATAACAATGCTAAGCTTTCATCGGAACAATCAAGGATTTGTTTAAGAACTGTCCAATCAGCATTTATGTGGGCCAAACAATATTGCTCAGTGTTATTTGCTATTTGGTTATGTCTGTGTAGGAAGTTTAGTGTTGCTTGAGAATGTGCAGAGGACCCAATTAGAGTATGAACAATTAAATGTAAAATTCTATAAGAAGAAGGTGGCATAGATCGAACTGAATGACCAAACGCCTTGTTAACTTGCTCTCCAATATATCCAGGTTGATCTTCGAATTTTATAGGTTCAGTTATCGGTGAATTATCTAATTTTCGATTCTCAGCTGCTGATAAGTGATTTGCCCCACCGATTGTATTGTTTTTACATTCTGGACATCTTATCGCTTCCATAGTTTGACCATAATTAGCAATTACATAGATAAATCCACATTGACATCTGGAAGACAAAATTTTAGTAATAATCCAAAACCGATTATTAGCAATAACGTGAATGTCTTACCGAATAATTTGTTCTCCATCTCCAGTAATTACTGCACTTAAAATTGGTGATTCAACGTCAGAAACAGTTGTCAAAGTGAACATATCTTGACATGCTTCTATCTTATGAAAATATGTCGCAAGTGGAGTAGAATCTGGAGGAATCGATGCATGCATTGCTATAATATGAGCTATAACTGATTTTAAGTACAAATTATTATTATCTATGGTATTATCCAAGCGAAGGAGTGATTGATTGTTTAAGAGTATTCTTCTTATGGTTTGTTTATACCCATTTGATAAATTATTTAATTTATAAACAGCTTCCAAATATTCGGAAGCGTGACGGTCTAATGCTCTCCATTCACTATTGTCATATATACGAGATATAATAAGTCCAATTAATGCAATCCTTACACGAAATGCTTTACTAATTAATAATTGTTGCATAAAAGTTTGAAAAGGAACTTTATTATCCGCAGTGCACAATTCTTTAAATGCATTCTCTGCCTCGCAATATTCCGATAGCATCCGATATGGATTAAGTGGAAAACAAGTATTTTTATTATCACTCCATATAAATGTGGACAACCAAGGAAATTTATTCTTTTGTGCTGCTACTAAATCAATTGAAAGGCCTTTATGGCGTAATTCTCGGAGAAAGTAGACCTTAAGTGAATGAATTAAGGGATGGTCTACACTCATAAACTTGTTGATTTCTTTAATAAGTTCACTATCAAATTCAACATCTTGAAGTTTTTGATCCCACATACTAAAAACAAATTCTTTAAGGAAAGCAATTGCTGATATGTGTTTCAAGGGCTCTACTGTTTTTTCTAATAAAGCTTGAACAGCATGCTCAAAGTATTGGGCCATTTCTGGAATCTTCATATAAATAAAGAACTCTTTCTGAATAATATCGCAACATAGAGTAGCCATTGAGGAGTCCAAGTCATTATTTTTTAAAGCAGAATTAATTACTTCTAATCGAGGTGAGGCTTGTAAAATTTCCATAGGATCTTGTAAGATCAGTAGAAACTGACCATTAGTATTTTCTTTACAAAATATCTTGGTAATTATTGATCCCATAAGTGGAAAAGGTTCTTTTTGTGAAAAGATAATATTATAAATATGTTCTCTAACTATTGAATCCAATGGGATGGTGTCAAGGCATCTCATTATAAATGATCTTTGTAAAGACAGGTTTTGCTCGTTCTTTTCAAACTTCAATAGAATGCCTAATACGTGATCGACAAATTTTTTAGATAGCCTATTTTTTTTTATCAGAAGCTAACCCCAATTTTATAATTTCCTTAATGTTTGGTAGTTGTAATAATTTGGACGATATTATATCATTACAAATACATAATAATTGATATGATCTTAATTTATTTGTTTTTAAAATCTTCGCACTAAATGATAAAATCTTGACAACTTCGTGTTGCCATTGATCTAATTGAGTTGCGTTATCTTCACTTATAATTTTATCTATAAGAAATTCTTCTGAGACATCTGGCCTTTCCGGCACAAATTCATTTATAACCGATGGATACATTTGTGCTAACTGTAAATCTGCCAATATAATATAGGAACTTTTCCACCAATAGATGTGAAGAAGAACTGGATCGAGTACATTATCTTTTTCAATATGTAACTGTAATAATTTAGCAAGTAACTCAGAATCTTTCTTATCAGCATCATTAGCGACTATAACTGTTATAAAATCATAAAAAAACCATTCAGAATAGTCTTTAAAAACTTGATAGTTGATAGCCGGTAGTGATGCTTTGACATTATCACTAAATCCTTGAACGGCATTTTCGAAAACTTCATGAGAAAGTTCTTGATCATCATCACAGTTTTCTGGATTTTCTTTAAGTTTTAAAAGCTCATCTTCCCATGCGGTCTTAAATCCATTGATTTTTTTTATAAAATAATATGAAAATGGAAATTTTAAATCATAAAAGGGTTCTGGCATCACATATTGATCAGGTTTTGGTTCAAACAAGTAATCAATATTCAAGACTTTTAGGTCTAAGAACATTGTTTTTAAAAATGCAGCTAAAGTCTCATTCCTCTTCTTTTGATTAATTGAAATTAAAGTTTTGGTGGCTGACAATTTCTCAAGAGCGAATAACATTTTTGCAATTGTTTGTCTGACCAATGATCGGACGGCACAAAAAGATGGATAAGGATATAACAATTTTTTATCAGATGCAACTTTATATTGCCAATCGCCTTCGGAGTTTTCCTCTAACCATTTTAATGTGTAAGTTTTTAAGCATTCAATAAGAAGAGTACACTTTATTATATCAGTTTTTAATATTCTATAAAATATTATAAATAATATCATTTATTATGTATTAAATTATAATTTCATGAAAAAAATAAGCTTACTTTATATGATCGACTGATTTTGAAGTAGATGGGTACTTTATACATAATAAGCACCATAACAATTCATTCTTTAAAATATCCTCAAATTTGTATTCAGTCTTAATAATATCAACTAAAGAACCACTTAAAATACTAGACAAATTCTTCTCTTGTGGAGTTAAAGTCTCAATTGTAACTTGCCTCCATCCGCACATAAAATTTAACGAAGAAATATAATTTTGACCTCGTTGAATATGGAGAATAATACAGACATATTTAGTATTATTTGGATCTTTTTTCAAATACTCATTTTGAAATTGTTCAATAATGAATTTCGCCAACTTAATACATTCGACATTTACGGTAGTAATACCGCATTGAAGAATTAACATTTGTTCATCTGATTCCTCCCAAAACAGTTTTATTCGATTTTGAAGTTGAGCTTCCGTCTTAAACGTTGATAATTTATCTACTTGACATGTGAAGAGATCTTTTAAACACTCAGCAACATTTGTATTAATATTAGAGAACGTATTTATAATGAATCTCGTTATTGTCGAATCCGTGTGCATAAGATGACCAAAAAATGTACGAAGATTATCATTATTTTTCAACGGAATGTGTTCGTCAATTAAATTGCGGAAATAAACGTTATTCCAAAGATCAATTTCTCCAGGATCTACGCATGATCTAGAAGCTATAATAATTCCATCAGAAGATGCAATATCAATTAAAGCTGCTTTGCATCGTTTAATTATTGTTTCTTCATTATCCTTAGGGAATTTTGTCATTACATCGATTACTAAACTTTGTAACGTTTCGTTTTCATCAAAACCAATAAAAAGATCCTTTCGTGTAAAAGAAGTTCGCGGCGCGTTAGTTTCATTCGTTTCTACTATAGAGGCCATCTGTTGCGTCCAAGTGCTTAGGATTTTGACTATCTTTTGATGAATATCAGTAAGAGTGTCATCTATTGTCATCGTTTGCTTTTCAAATCTACTTAGCAATGCTGGATCGGTGGTTGCTAATTTTTTTTCATCAAGAACTAAAATACATCTAAAGTTGTTATGAACATATCTTTATAATACAAAAAATATTAGATATCATGATTAGCTTTTACTATATATATATATTCACATAGTAACTTACAACAAAGGATTTGTATATGCTCCAAGTGCAACACGAGTGTAATATTTGGGATCATTTTTGCTTTTAAATACAATATAATTCTGGTTCCATAAATCATAAAGAGCGCCTTTATGAATTAAATCATTACAAGTTCATAAAAATTAGTAAAATAATTTAATATATATTTGAACACAGATAAAGTTAATACCATAAATAATCTCTAAGTTTGTCAAGATAAGAGGTCTTCCTGCTTCAACACACATCTAACAATAAAAAAATTTATATTTAGGAACGTAAAATAGTTTTAGTGCGAAAATTAATCAATTTACCATAATTCTACTAAAAACGCTATAAGAATAGTCTTGTTGGTCATCTTGAAATTGTGATCCTAAAATAACCACGGGATCTAATCCTTTCTCCATTAACTGATCTGTCAAAATAGTCACTATAGAATCACTTTTTCCAATAACCATAAGGTGTCTTGCGCTTTTATCATCCAGATTAGCTTTAATCAAAGTTAAAATCGGGGTTGGATTATACGCCCAATCCTGATAATTAAAAAATGTTTTTAACAAAGTTTCGAAATATTTTTTACAAGGATTCTCATTTCGATCAGTGCCACCAAAATTTCTTTCCAATGCCATTTGAACATTTTCAGGCGTTAAATCAGGCTTCGATATGCTTTTTATTAATCCATAGTAATCTCGAAGACCGTGGAAATTAGAATGTAATTGACCACATCCTTCATACTCCGAATATGCTTCTGCAAGTGGTCGAAGTGAGTTACGCGTCATAGATTCTTGCAATTTAAAGTCAAATAAACGAACAGCAGTATCGATAAGATCCTCAATACCAAATTTAGGCCTAAATAATTTTGAATCATAACGATAATAATTTAGATGCCGTATAATGTAAATTATATGAAATATAAAATATGCCAACCTTTGAACTAATAAAGCTCTGCTGCTTTTACTTATATCTAATCTCCAATTGCTAATACCAACGAAGGAAACTGCTGGCCCATCAGACGGATAATTTGGTTCAAGTAGTGCATGAAGTACTTTAAGTGGCTTATGTGAATTATTTTCAGCCAATCCAACTACATGGCAATAAATTATTAGATATAAACTATGCAAATAAATAAAAAATAATTTAATACTACATTAACTCACTTCCATCAAATACAACAACACTGATCACGGAAAACTCTTTTGAACTGGTTTCTTGGTATTTAATAGCTTTATCAAAAACTTTAATGATGCCGTCAGAAGTAGATGATGACGACCCTTGGTAGGAAATAAGGTATACCTGTTTTAAAATTAAAATCAATAAATTTTAACCATTATCGGCGACACAATAAAAATAAAAGATTTTGACCTGAGGAAGTTTTCGGAAATATTTATCATTTGAATCAGATCCACGTAGGTTTAGTCTTACAAGTTTGATCGCTAAAGATTTTGATGATCTAATAAACAAAGTTTGTAGTTATGTATGAAGTTTAGTTAGAACGACTCGATTGCAATAATATTCAAAAGACTAATCTTACCCAGGTGTACCGATAATAAACGTAGGAATTTTAGTAAGAATACAAACAATCACCACTAAAACATTTTCTAATAGTGCCTCATTCATCACAGTTTCTGGTGGCAACTGCATTCTTTTAAACCAATCTTCTTGCTCATCTCGAATCACTCTAGTAAATTCACTCTCTTCAACATTCATTTTGTACCTTTGGAATACATTAATCATTGCTTGCCGATATCCACTTCGCGATTCTTGGTCATATATTCTAGATTGATAACAAAGGCTAAGTGCTAAAATATAACTACGGATTTGAAGACTAATACGACTTGAACCATCAGGAGGCGGATAGTTTTTATTTCCTCCCGAGTATTCTGAATTTGAACGCGTCTGAAGACTTTCTTCAAAGAATGAAACTAATTTAATTGCTCGTTTTACATCACGCAAACTAACGCTATAATTTTCTTCAATTAAACGAATAAACTGCTGCGAAGCAATTAAGAGCTTTGTAAATAATTCTTGTCCTTCACTAAATCGGGTTTGCACCATTAATCGTATATATCTTTTTTCATCTTTTGAAAAGAGAACGCCATAATCCCAAACATAATCTAATATTTGATCCGGAAGTGGTTTTACTTGATATACAAGATTACTTTGATCTTCATATTTTTTAACCTTAGTTTTTATTCCAGCTTGATTTTGGGATTTGATCCTTTTACGATAAGGATTACATGCCTTATTAAAATAAATAAATAATAAATAAATTGAAATATCATTGATAAGATGACATTAATTTTAACTTGATTATACCGAAAGAAGTTTGATATTAGGGTGTAATAATTTTCCATCAAAAGCGCGGTGCGTTATTATATTCGCAAGCAATCCAGTATGATTACAAGTATTAATTTCGTCGAAGAATAACCATAACTCGCCGTTATCGGCTTTTTTCTGAGCCTTGTTCATGAAATCTAATATGTCTTGCTCCTTAATTCCTGCATGGAGATTGAATGGTTCGTAATTAACCTCAGCTACCTTGGCCAAGAATCCTATTAAACTCGACTAAGCATTATAAAATGATGTACTAACGTTAAAAATTATTTATCTAAGCATATGAAATAAGTAAAATATTAACCTTGCCACAACCAGCTTCTCCCATAATGACAATAGGAACATTAGCACGTGTCCTTAATAAGATTAATGCCATCTTTACTAGATTATCAGCTGACAAAGCATAGCGATAGGATGGAAGATCAATTTCATACGCTGTTCGACGTGCTAGATTATCAGCTGACAAAGCATTGCGATAGGATGGAAGATCAATTTCATACGCTGGTCGACGTGCTAAACATTTAAGCATTTCTAATAATAATTTAGGTGGAATCTGACTATAATATTTTAATTCCCATTTGTCTGGGTCGGTCATGGATTGAATTTTAAGAAATTCCTTAACATTTTCTGGAACAGTTTTTTTTTGACGATATAAAGCACAAATTAAATCTGGATTTTGTGACATGAAACAGACCAAAAGATGACTAGATACGTCCCACTGAGCTATTTTGAATTTCGCCTCATAATCATCGCATGTTGATTCTAATTGTGCCGCCTTAGTCTTTACTGATCTGGTCGCAAATTCTTTAGAAACTTCAATTAACAATTCAACCAGTGTCGTTCTCAATGTTTTTTCATTAATCAGTAGTTTTAAATTTTCTACAGTAAGACAAGTGTTTGATGAAAGGCGAAAAAGTTGATCTGCTAGTACATTAGTAAATATTTCTATAAATCGGAATGAGGTAATATTGTCAGTATTTCCTTCTAAAAAGTATTTTACTATTAAATCTTGACATCTTTTATCGGATAACGGTTTTGTTATAAAGCCTTGACCATGGAATATAATATCTCTCTCGTTAATTTCATGTTTTTCATGTGCATCTAAATAATTGCACACAATTTGAATTGGATCGCATATCTCAGAGGATACATTAAGATTACGAATACTCCATGATAAATGTTCTTTTATTAAATAACTGGCTATAGGAAGTGAGTTAAGAAGTTCCTGATTAACGGTTGTTGCCACTTCAATGAATATGGGAATTCGCGGAAGACTTATTATGTAAATATTATTAGAAACGAACCCTAGCGTTAATAGTTCAAATAAAAATAGATTGATTTCGTTCGGATTTTCAGCCGACATAATATTTATATGCAAACTTTCAGTTGGGTGAATTTTGCGATCTTTAAGCTGGCAGACAAGACTTTCGTAATTTGAGCTATCACTGATCAAAAAACTATGTAACCCTTTTTTTTTCTTTAAACTAGCTTGTTTAATCCATTCAGTTTTGCCTTGCCCAGGTAGGTCTGAAGATACACAAGTAACGTTACTACACAAATCATGATAAATTGCTTTCATGATTTCAGCGTTAAGGCCATTTGTTAAATGAACATCTTGTGAAAATTGGTCTAATATGTGATGATGGAACGGGACCTTATGATGATAAACTAATGCCAATAAATAATCATTATGTTTATCACACATTGATTTAATAATTTCTACTAGGCTAATTTGCAACACAAGCTCGAGTAGCTCTAAATTCGCAATGCAAAATAAATTTTCTCTATATCCATTTTTTGCAGCAAAAAAACAACGTATGATAAAAATATTAAGCTCTTCAATAGTCGTTGACTTTGTACAAATTAAGATTTGCCATGGTTCGGGATAGAAGCTATTATTTCATAGTATATTATTAAGAAGAGAAATATTTCTATTAAAATTTAAAAAAAAAACATGTAATGGCTTACCCATTGCTAGCGTACAAACTCATGATTATATTTGGTATACATAATTTATCGTTGCATGAGGCAACAAATAATTTACCCCTATCGACAACATCAGAAATAATATGTTCGCCTCTAACTTTAAGTTCACGTGGCGTTTTTAATAAATTTCCGAAAATAACATTCAATTTCTCACCAATTTCTTTTAGTGTATATGAATAATCGGTGTTTTCGCGTGAAATGCCTGAATGGTCTTTTTGAGAAGGTAACTCTGCTTCACTATTAACAAACTTTATAAGAGCTCTGCAGATCTCTGTGTTTTCGTTATCTTGCACATCAGATGTAAAATAGTCATAAAAGGCAAGAATATGACGCGCAGGGAAGAATGTCAAATAGTAATGGTGATCTTGTGCTTCATCTACTGCTTTTTTCCTGGATAATTTGAAGTCAAACAATATTAGTAAAATAATCTTATAAAATTATATAATTTGCATTAAAAGACTTATTACATTACCAATTTTGTAAGTCCACTTTAAGATTCTCTAATAAAGCTATCATTTCTGGAGTTTCAACACTTTTCTCAGTTCCTATAATTTCTTCAAACCGTCGATAGTCAAAATGCCCTATCTGGATAAGATTAGATCCAACATTAAGAATTTTTTGTGCAATATCTACTTGCAATACAAATTCACTCATTATTTTTCTTGAATCTTCCCCTTCTGTCAAATCCGAATTAATATTAGCAGGTTTTGTGATTAATAGAGCACGTCCACGTAAATTTAGTAAATTGGACATGTTATGTTTTATTTTATCGGCAGCTCCTCTAGCTTGATATACCAGTGAAACATTAAATTTATCACTCTTGTCATCTTTTTCAAAAGTATAAGTTCCTCTCAATACGGCATTTTGGATCTTTTCTTTTGTCACTTCTTCTATATATGAAATGTTTCTAAGCCTAAAGGAAAACAACAAATTTTAATCATGCAAGATTCATAGCTATATGATAATGTTAAAGAAAATAACATACATGTTTTGTAAAGCCATGTTAAAGCCAATATATTCTTGGAGTTTAATGGGTAAAGCCTGACTAATATTTTGCAAAACTTTCAAAAATTCATCCATTTTTTTAGATCCATTCATTAATTGCACAACCAACTGTTTAAGTTGAATGAGTGATGACACAGTGTCATTTTCAATTAACTGTTTGTCAGAATATTCATCTAGATAATCGACTAAATTCATAATATCATGTTCAGCAATGGTCTGAAGAAATTATAAAAGTTCATTGACAGACGATAACTCTTTAATAAATGACCAATAATTCTCATTATCAGCTGGATTATGTTCTTCAACATTTTTCACAAATTCAACAACCTTTCCTAAAATTAATTCGTCTTCTCTTAAAATTTTCAAACATCTTCCTAGCCAATCCTCGGTTTTAAGTGGCACTTTAAAAATGTCAACAACTGTAGATAATTTTTGAAGTCGTTCGTCCCATTTCGATATAGCAGTAAGGTGGTTAAGAGAAATTTCTAGATCTTGATTACTTTTACTTAAATAAACTGCTTGATTGATCAATTCTAATTCGGTCTTTATATTGGTAACACTTTTCCATAAAGGGAATGCTTCGGAATATTTAATATGCTCCCATTTTCTATCTTCGTATTTTTTGAATATTTTATGATGTTCTTCACGCACTGCAGGAATCAAGGTATTAGCAACATAGTTAACATTTATTTTATCGGTAAGTTGACTTAATTGTATTTCATAAATGTTAGTAAAAGTTTTTGAATTCGCAAGTCTATATATATCAGCCGCTTTCTGAATTACATCCTCATGATGTTCCCAATACCGTGGAGATAATGTTTCTTTAAGCGGTACTTTTGACAATATCCTTAATTTCCTTTCTAAATCACCAGTATATTGATCCGAATCCGAAACTTTACTTGGTGGGCAAAATGTGCTATAAAAAGCCTTAAGATGTCTAAATATTTCTTCAAATGCTTTATACTCTTTACGAACGTTTGAAATGTTACTTTCAGTAATAATCACGCTTTGAAATGTCTCCTTGATATTGTTATTATTAGCAACATTAAGACATTTGTACAAATGCTCAACACTGTTTTTTGATAAAATTGCCTGTAATGTTTTAATGTCAATGGTTTTATCAACAATTGAATTTGCTAAATCAGAAATGGCTGTTCGTATTTTCATAACACATGAATGTTTATGTAAGTTTGTGACACTGCCTCTTGCATTAAAAATTATTCTCCAGAAATCCGTATAAATTTGAGATGTCTGATTTTCCAAACAAGTCAAAATATGGCATAATAAGTTTTCGCTAATGCTATTTAATAGATTATTAGGCATGTTAATAATATAGTTAAACAAAAAAATAATTTTTTTAATTGCACAGTTTACAAATGTCTTACCTATTGGGAACATCCAAAATTTCTAAATTTGGTACATAGCTTTGACCACAAATCCAATATACCATTTCCATAAGACTTTTGTCAATAATTCGAATATCTTTAGCAACGAGAACATTTTCAATTACTAAATTAGAAAACTGTTTAATAGTAGATTCGCTAAACTTCGCTACTTGAACTGTTGCAAAGAGTATATGTTTGTTTGAACACTTTTTAATTAGTTCATTGGCAATGTGCAATAATTCTTGATATATTTTTGATGTAACAATAAATAAATGCTGCAAGCCTGTTAAATGTTCATAAATGGAACATATAAATCTTCCACCGTCATTTAATGACAGGCCATTATGATAACTTAGCTTCGTTACGATACGTGTAAACCATTGTCGACATAGTTCTAGAACCTCTGGTGACATAGTACTAGAAAGCTTCTCTATATTTGAGCAAAGAGAAATCAGCCACTGTAAAATTATGAATAGATTAATGAGGAAAAGCTTTATATAAATTAATTAAAAAAATATACAGCATATAATTATACTTTTGCTATTTTGATGTAAATATATTCATCTATTTGAGCCAAGTAAGGATCAACTACTTTCGGCCATTTCGTTAACAAACGTAATGTATCTTCCTCATCATAACGAGCAACAATAAATCCATCGACAAAAGTATATTTTGGATCAAGAGACTGCGCCACCCGAAATATACTAAGCCATTCAAACGATATCCTTACGGTAGCATTATGATGGACCAAAGCTGCAACAACTGATACCATTATTGGTTGAATATCAGATGTGAATGTATCTTCTTGAAAATCTTCGAGTGCTTCAAGTAACAAATCAGATCGAAAATTTTGTGGTAATTGAAGTGTGTCTAGGTCCTTACAATGTTTAACATAATACCCCAAGATAACGCATAAAAAAAGTCGTTTATCTCTTTCACTTTGACAGTGTTGTGTTATGAAGTCGATAGTAGTGTGATTCAATACGAGATCCCTATGATTTTCCAACAATAGTTGGAATTGCATAACTTTATATTTAAGGTTTTCAATATTTACTGTATCATAGATGCATTTAATGAATGCGAATTCTTTAGGATCTAAAACAATATGATGGTTCCTATTATTTTGCCATATGTCATATTGATCATTAGTTCTTATATCCAAAGTGCGTTTTTGTATCTCACCATCCTCTTCATTTTCTATACTTATTTTTTTTTGATCAAATATACCATAATTATACATAATTTCATTTCCACCTATTAACTGAATTTCTACAGGTGGTGATCGCCAATATGCTGGATACTGTTCATACGGTTGTGTAAATTTAATCATTTCCCAATTCCCTAACTCTTTACAACTACCTATTACCACTGGCTCACCGTCAATCTTTGATGGCAAATGCACATGAAAAATAGTTCTATTACTATTATATTTATATTCATATTCACAGTTAATATTACGCACTTAAATTCATATGAGTGACGCCAAGGAAAATGGGTCATTGGTTTATCATTTATTATTTAAATAGGTTATCAATGATAAACCAATGTCCCATTTTCCCTTAGCGTCACTCATATGTAATAAGAAGAAGTTTTTGCAAATGAATTCATATTTACTCTCTATTGATTTATATTGGCGGTTGATGAGTGAAGTGATATTATTTAATGGTGAATTCTTAATCTTACAAATTTAATATTGCTGAATTTTGTACGTACCGCCTTCCAAATTTAAATAAAAATTAGGTTAAAATAATGAAATGCTTATATTAAGTATAATAAAGTTCCATACTCACATACTAGCAATTAGATGTGCTAATTAGCAATTAGACAAAGTGTAATCGAATATTGCAGTATTATTGATATATTTACCTCCTAATATATTGATTATATTTGATTATTAGAGAGATATTATTTAATGTACTTAATCACATCCTTTAATTAAATTTTACCTGAGCCTACGCGTAATATCAGTAATTTTAGGACGCTTTGTTTGATCTAATTGCCAGCACTCTTGAATAAGCCAAAGGATATTAATATTAAAATAATAATAATAATAAATTTAAGAACATATAGAACAAAACATATAAGAATACCAGTATATAAAATAGAATATTGTAGCGGAGTTCCTTCAACGGGAGCTTCTCTAGTACCATCTAATATTTTGAGACACAAAGCAGCAGCTATATCTTTATATTTATCGAATGGAGGACGTAGACTGGATATTTCCCACAAGAGCACACCTAAGCTGTATATATCGGATTCCTTCTTTATTTTATACGTTTCTTGCTCAAAATGTTCAAAACTATTAGGATCCATGTACGGAGGATAACCCAAAATTCCTGTTTTAGTGTTGGTTGCATCAGCTAAACACCTTGAAAGCCCAAAATCAGCAATCTTTATATTATTTTTATGAATGAGTATATTGTTTGAATGCTATAAATAACAAGTTGCTAAATATTAGAATATTATTATTTAAACTAATAGAATTAAAATTATATCGATATATTATAAAATATTAATTACAAGGTCTCTATGTACAATATTAGCGGAGTGCATATGCATAACTGCTTCAGCAAGTTGTTGCGCTAAATTGAGTTTATCGGACCAGCCAAGATCTTGGTTTTTCTGTACCGTCCGCAAATTCTAATACTAATATATAGTTGAGATTGCTGACAGGTTGACTGACTAAAGAAGTAGATCTTAGACAATAAGCAGAAATGGTTATTTAAAAATTCCAAATTATAAAATCTAAATATAATCTTGTGTTTTAGAATATCCATAAAATCGTATGATTTTATCATGCATATCCACTTTTTTTTGTAATTCAATCTTAATTGGTTGCATCATTAATATGTTAACTACGTTTTATTCGGTGCCGCTCGTTTCATAAACAAATCATTTTATGGACAACTTAGTTCACAATGGTTAATTGACAGCAAGATTAATTCACGGACTAGTTCATTTTCATAAACATTTATCTCACCGACAGTTCATTTCACAGACAAAGTAATTTTGGTCATTGTCGTTAGAGTAATATTTAGATTTAAGTTTAGTGCAATTTATAAAAAAAAACTTGTCTGTCGGTGAAATAAACTTTCTATGGAATGAGCTTGTCTATTAATTATGTGATCTAAGCTGTCGGTGAAACATTTTGATAATACCTCTTTTAATATAGTTCTGTAAGTTGCTTCGTCATTTTCTCGGAAAAATTTTTTCAATGCGACGTATTCGGTACTCAAATTAGAATCTATCAATTTGGCTTGGTATACAGTAGCAAATCCTCCATTACCAATTGTTTCGAGAACTTCGAATTGATTGAAATCATAATATTTTATATCTAAACTTTTTAACTCCTTTTCAAAACTTTCAACATTTTCATCGGACATATTTCGGAGCTTGTAAAAAAGAATACGTATGTAATGATAAAATCAAGTTCGTACGTAATGCAGTCATAACATTTTTGTAAAGAGTCACATCAGAAAATGGCTATGGTTAACAATTTGGTGGTCGGATTCGTTCTACCGGATTTTTCTAGATTAGGTCATTCATTATTCATTCATTAAGAATTCTATTGTTACAAGTGTAACTTAATGTTTATTTATCTGTTTGTCGTACTGACTTTTAATCCTAGTGGTTTTTCCATTTTCGTCATATGATAATTTGTAATAATATAATTTTGTTCGGAGTTTATCAACTTATTTTCTTTAAATTCTTCATTTTCGGACTTCGTTCTAGTTTTGTTTACAGGTAAGAATGTTGATGTTATACGACAGTTTTCACACGGTGTGCAACATATAAAAAAATAATTTTACAATACCAGATCATTCCGCTAGTACATGTTGTGATTATAATC